CAATGGATTACATTAATTCTTGAATATCTCGATACAGCGAAGCTATATTCACATGTTACATAAAAAATTGTACATAGAGTTTAGTTGTTGATTAGAATGAATTAGTATCTGTTTCATATTTAACCCCTTTTCATCTAGGTTATAGTGATAACATGAACATACATGTGATGGGCAATTCAAATCTGTATAAACTTAAAATACAAAAATGAACAAGATGAACTTTAACTCATCTCATCCAGTATTATCGTCTTGTTTCTTCTTACGTACCAGTAACATAAGAAAAATATACAAGAAATATAAACATGGTACACTTATCATTTTGTTCTCATATTTTCAGAGATGGGACGAAGAAAAAAAGTGAGAGGATGTCAGGAGATATTTTGAATTTGGAAAAGATGCATATACCAATTTCTTGAAAAGTATGGAGTGTCGAACCTTTTTTCTCCTGTTTGAGATCTTTTTTTTTTAAATAAAAATTACGATTTCGTCTGAAAAGAAAAAAAAACTTTTCTAGAAGTGAGGAGTGTGCACATTCCACAGTTTTATTGTTAAAATGCACTAAAGAAGAAAGCTCATGCTTTCGAAGTATTTGTAAATTAATTGTTTTAAATAAAAGTAAATTATTGTGAAAGAGTAATCGAAACTGAAATACTGAACTAATTATCAAGTATTATTGTTGATATCAGTTGTTATGTAAGAGAATAATAAGAAATGAAAATGGACATTATGAATGATACTATAATGATGTGAATAGAGCAAATTTTCAGAACTATAGTTCAATCAATTAAAAGTAGAAGTAAAAATTTGATTTGTTTTCCTATATTTTCTGAGAAAAAGAACAAGTTTTGACTCAAACTTTTAGTTCATAGTAAAGTAGTTACTATGGTACTATAAGTTGTACGAATCAAACAATTATTGGAATATTTTTTTGTATTTTATAAACTTCTTATTCATTATTATTATGCAATGACTCTTCAATGTTGTGTCTGACTAGATGTTCCTTTTCCACCACTTAGTTCGATAAAATACAAAATAAACTTTATAGCTAACTAGTAATCGTATGAGATAATGAAGTAACTATTAGGTTTTCTTCTTGCTATTGCTTCTATAGTGAAAAAGTATATAGGAAAAAAACTACCCTTAAAATTAGACGTCATCGCGTTACGTTGATAAATATGACTTTTCATCCAAATAAAGTACTTATTTCGAAGTTTTCTTTTTTCCATCTGGTGGATGGGAAAGTCAGCTCTCGATTGGCCATAGAACGATTTTCTTCTTCGTGCATAAATTCGCAGAAAAATGGAATGCAATCAAACTACCCTCAATTCTTTGTCCTTTTTTCGTCATCGCGTTTGGCCACAAATTTATTTTATAACTTTGAGATAACCTGAGCTAAAAAGGCTGATATTTTCAGATATGTTGAGGGTTAAATATATGAATCTTTTGATGAAAGAATAAACTTCTAAAAATACAGCATCGATAAGAAATAGCAAAAAGAGTATGGACAAAACGTCATCGCGTTACGTTTGTGAAAGCCGGTATTCTTTGCTATGAAAATATTTTTTTCGCACTGAACTAGTGTAGCTAGAATTCGTGTGCAGCTGATTATCTAAAGGTGAACGCAAGGGAGAGAGAAATCTAGATTTTCTTCAACTTTGTATAAAATGAGAGAAAATGCCGGGATTGAAAGGGTTAAGATATGTTTTCGCTTTATCTTTATTTTAAAATGCTAAGAATGATGACTTCGTTCAATTTTCGAATCAAATATAGTTCATTGATGTCTACTTAATTCATTCACAAATATTTATGTCGATCGTCAATTATCTCATGTACTCTCTTTTGTTTATTTTTTTGAATTAGTTTAATCTAATTTTTTTTGTGTAGACTCATGCAATAAATTTAAAGTCTTAAACAAAATTTTTTAATTGAACAAGAAATAACATCAATTATTGTCTATGATGTACATGATACTAAACGAAAAATTTCACCATTCTCTTTGAATTCTAATATGATAAGCAACAATTAGCATTCATTGATAATAAGAATGAAACATCTACTCCATCTTCATCATTTGTTGTAGTTTATTGATATGTTGCTGATAAGACGGATGAAAACGTGATGATAATTTTTTTTTTTCATTAATTTATTTTCTTAAATGAAAACTTTCCAAATTTAAGAGAAAGAGAATGAAGAGAAAAAGAATAGACAGAAAAGATATGTTCATATGCATTACTTTCTTTGTGGAATAGATATAGGTACATATTAACTAAAGAATGAATGAATTAAATAAGTATGATAAAAATAGAAAAGAGGAACGATAAAGATTACTAGCGACATCAACAATTATTTATTTTAAAATGTTATTATCGAAAAGACTATTCGATCACATCGTCTTTTTTATTTGTTTCCAGTTTATCTAATTATTTTCGTTCAATATAGTTAGTTAGCTAGTTATTTATGTAAATATTTAGTTATTAAATAAATATTCTTCCAATTTATATGTTGTTTTTAGATATATTATTCCACTTTTATCCTTAACTGAAACTCAGTTTATATATGGATAAATGAAATATTTATATACAAACTTATTGAAGTAACTTGTATTTATAAAAGAAAATATAATAATTATATAAAGCATGTTTGTTTAGATTATGCTGTTCACGATGGTAGTATTCAAACTTTGATAACACTTAATGAAGAACAAAAAGATGATTAGAAAACATTAGTTGATTTCGAATAAATTTCTTAGTATTTTAATATTTTTCGACATACTTTTAAAATAATAATACACTAATTGTATTAAAACTGAAATCAAGCCTAGTAAATAATTATATTTGTACTTTTTTTCTGTATGTCAATACTGTTTTGTATTTATTAGATTATCTTTCATATATACTCGATAAAGGTCATGAACTATTTTATGAATTAGAACTAATCACGAAAACAAAATCATCAATTTTAATGAGTTTTGACTTTGAAATGGCTTTTTAAAAATGGAATAAAGTTTCATTTAATTTAAATGATTTTATATTCTAAGCATTCTTATATCACTACTTCTTCATTCAAAAATAAAATAAAATAATATTCTTCGATCACTTACTTCATTTTGCTTGAATGAAAGGTAAAATATATTTTACTTATTTTTGTTGTTAAATTTTTTATTCAATCTTTCATCATTCGACAGTTTCTTTGACTTTATTCAGAATCATTATTTGTTAATCTTTCAACATCTCGAAAACGTTTAGAAGATATTTAATTTCGTTTTATGGCTACTCAACATGTTCTTGTTCTATGCAAATTCAGAAAACAGCAACAACAAAGACAACATATTGAATAACAACATGCAAGCCTGTGTTTTTCCTTGTCTGTATATAATACATCACTTCTGATATGATCATTATCTCTAATCATTTCAAATATTAAAAATGATTTTTCTTCTTTTTTATACTTGAAGTTATCTGAAACAAATAAATCTTTAAACCAATTGTTTTCTTTTAATACGATATGTAAATAAAAGAATAGTTTTAGTTTTTGTCTTCATTCGACGAAGTTACCATTCTTCATTCAAAGATTCAAGTTTGAGAATCAATAAATCAAAACGAGAAAATTCAAGGATTTTTATTCCTAAATAACGTCAGTTTTTATGTCGTCCTGAATGAACTTGATATATATGTAATTAAAACAATTTATTAATCAATTTTAGATGGTTAAAACATCTACATCGAAACTACTCGACACTTATAAGATTCCAAAAAGTACGCTACATCATGTCCAAAACAACGGGTGATGCAAAAGTTCTGCATTAATTTTCCCATGCCGCCACTTTTTTAACAACTGCGTCGCAGTTGCGCGTAACTGCGAAATTTTGATCGTAACTGCGCGTAACTGCGGCGCATTGATCGCAGCAAAAAAATCATATGTTCGACTACGATCGACTGCGACGCAGTTACGCGTAACTGCGAATAAAATATCGCAGTTGCGCGCAGCTACGGTAAAGAATTCGCAGTTACGCGTAGCTGCGCCGCAATTTTCCGCAATTACGGATCACACTGCGATCGCAGTTACGCGTAACTGCGTCGCAATTCGATCGCATTCGAGCACATGGGTTGTTGTTGATATAACTCTGCAACGCAATGTCATAAAGACTTGTTCTTTTTTTTTGTTAGAAGGAGAAGTGTCTAGTACAAAAATAAATAAAAGAATTTGATTTGAAATGTTTTTGAAAGATGGAGAAAAATCATAGAAGAGAAGGTACCTGAAAACTTTTCTGCAACTTTTTTAAACTTTCAAAAATTTCATATAATCTAGACAGGTTATCTTTTTATTCGTTTCATCCGAATTTTATTATGTAAGAATAAAGCACAATTGTTATACAAAATGAGCGATTTTCTATATACTTTATAACGATCGAAATAAACGCTTTTATGATATCATCTGGGTCACCATGTATTCATCATTATCGATAGCAGTGAAAAAATGGACTCTATTCTGATGGAGAGGATTTCACAAACTATATATTTTATATGAAAAAGAAAGCTTATTGAGTTTTCTATCAAATAATACTATTTACAAAAGAACACAGCTTCTCTGCAAGATATTCAGAGAAAAATTTGTTTTCGCGTTGAAAAACCAAATTTTTAAATTAACGTTTCCTCAATAAAATTGTTTTCTGTTTATCCTGTTGTACACCATACCAATTATTTTAATATCAAATGAAAATCTTCGTTGTAATGAACAACTATATATATAGTGTTCGAAAGAGTCAAAAGTGGTAATGAAACGGTCAAATAAATATTTTTGGATAAAAAAATATGACCAGAGTTGAAGAAGAGTTTTCTGATATCTTCTCTCCTAAGATTTTTTCCATCTTTCAAAAACATTTCCAATCAGATGTTTTCATGTAGTTTTGTACGAGACACTGCTCTTTCTAACAAAAAAAAAACAACAAGTCTTTATGACATTGCATTGCAGAATTATATCAAAAATAAAATTAATGCAAAATGTTTGCATCACCCGTTTCAATAAAACAAATTTTATTAGTTAGTTACAATTTTCTTTTTACAGGTAATGGTAAATATACTTGCTCCTACTGTATTTTCAAAACAACTACAAGAGCTGATTGGATGAATCATATGCAAAAAAACCATCCTAAAGAATTTCAAAAGGTGGTGAACGATCAAAAAAACTCTCGAGCAACTTTAAATACAGGAGTTAATAATGTATCGGATGAGGTAACACAATTTAAACTAATGTTTTGTTTAAAAAAATTGCTATAAAGCTTTCATATCTAACTTTGTCTAAAATTTACATTATTTTTCAATTATAGGATGATGATGATGATGAAAATGATACTCGTAGTCAAATGATGTTAAATGATACAACAACTGGTTCATATGAAACTGCTCACTTTCTTCAATCATCAATTAAATCACATGGTACAGCAAGTAGTACATTTGGAAATGCTCATCTTCTTCAATCATCAATTAAACCACATAGTACACATAATAATACATTTGAACCTGCTCATTTTCCTCATTCATTAATTCAACCAAGTAGCACAACAAGTAGTGCATTTGAACCTGCTCATTTTCCTCAATCATCAATTCAACGACGTAATACAACAACTAGTACATTTCAAGGTCCTCAGGTAACCCTTCACTCGCTTCAACTTCAAAATACAATTATTGAGAGATTCGCATCAGCTTAATCAAACAAACAGGTTTTACTTGAGATATTAGGACACAAATCAAAAGCTCCTGCTTGACCTCTAAGTCAGAAAAATCAAAAGGTTTTACTAGAAATATTATGGAAAAAGTGAAAAATTGTTCATACAATATCAGAAGAAAAATCAGAATTCTATCGTAAAAATCATGAGGATTTTCTTCTGGTTTTTAGCAGAATATTTCATGAGCAACCTGCTCATCAAGTCCTGTGTTTTTTACGAGGTTGTTTCTATCTTAAAAAAATTGATTTAACAATTCTGGCTTGTGTAGATCTTGTTCTTTTAACTATGAAATAGAGGTGTGCCAGATGAGCTTTTTTCACACTCTATACTCTGCCGGAAAGAAATTTTCTAACCCTTACTCTATCTGATACTAGAGAATCTGTACCCTACTGTACAGAACTTATATTCTTAGTCTCTGAACTTTATTTCTCAGTCTTCCTTAGTCCTGTCCTAGCTGGAAGGTCCGAAAAGCGATAAACAGCAAAATAGTATCGCATTTTTTTTAAATTTATTTTATTGGTTATTACAAAGCATTAAAATATAATTTTCGTAAAATTTCTGACGAGTAATATGTTACCTATGATATAAATAATGATACCGTTAACAGCTTCATAATATGTCTGCCAGTTCTTATCGTATAGAATGGAAATTCGTCTTCAAAGATTCTCCGTTCATTTCTCTACAAAACCATATGAATAAAGTATAGACAATATTTAACTGTAAAAGTACAGACGGTTAGTAATAATATGCCTCACAACCGACCACTTTCACAAATTTTTTTTTTCAATTTTTCGACACTCTGTAACTGGTTAGAAAGTGGTTGAGTATATCATTTTTAGCGCTTCCTAGGCTCTATCATTTGAGATATTGTTGAACACTTTTCACGCAAATCTTTCGTAATGACAACCTTTCTTCTTTTATGCCACACTCGGCTATCGCCATCTCGCTACTAGATTCATCGTTAAAAACATCTAGTCAAGCCAAAACATGACTTTTTTTTGTTGATTTGGCCAGGTTTTTTGCTGAGGTGAAGATAAGCGATCGGTGATTCATGGAGAAATTTTCATGCTATCTGCTCCTAAGATCTCACTATCTCATAACCAATTTTTCACGCTACTCTCAAACAGCTACGTACAAAAGCATGAAAAAATTGACATTAGAACAGCTTCGCGTCTGATTATACAGTGGCTCAAAACCAATTAATTTTCTGAAAACGTGTACCAGAAATTAATCATTGTAAAGACATAGCAGCATTGGCTACCTTTGATTTTATAGTTATATATTGTATATAATTTATTCATACAGTTTTGCAAAGAATAAAACGGGAGATCTTATGAGACGAAGCCTGCGTCTATATGATGAAATTGACAGAGATATTATCATAATTCGGAAGAGATCATTATTGATGTCGTAACCTATAGGATCAACCCTGTCAGCACTTAAACTTGGTCGCCGTTCTTCAAGAATTCTTTAATTCGCACTGAATATTCGTTGGCTTCTATAAAAATTATTATCTGGGCGTGATCGACCAGCATGGTATCCCAAGATACAGAATAGGAAATAATATTATTCCAGGCAGAAGTATAAAATTTTTTATATATTCTTGCCTGGAATAATATTTCCTATCGTTATCTTGGGGTGTGATACTGCTTGATCACGCCCATCTATTTCAATAAAGAAGAACGATGAGTACTTTTTGGTCTAACTTTTGATAGGAACAAGAAAGAGATTTGTGGTTTTTACTGTTTAGAAGAAGATATGAAACTGCATTGAATTATATATTTTAGACGTCTTTGATAAATTTTATCAGGGCGTTCATGTTGCATCAAGTTCCTTAGAAACAAAATAGTTTGTAACATAAAAGTTTTGGAATTTAAATTTTCCGAAGTGTATTAGAAGCGCTAACTAAAGATCTATAAATTTTGAATGCCAGACACCGTTGACTTCTGTCACTTATGAGTTATAGACATTTTACTGCGTTTCATCAGCCGATTTTGTACAGACAATTGAATTTTTTCTTTGATTTTTTGGTAAAAAGTTCATCTTATCATTCAATCGAAAATCGTGAATTTGTTCAAAAAATGTGAAGATAGATTCTAGCAAACCTTATCAAAAAATTTGAAACATATTCTTCGATGTAGTTTCATCGCTATCTTCATTGTTATCAGGTTCAGGTTGATCTTTTTGAGGAAATTCCATTATTACATCTTATTTTGAAAAACCATCTTTTTTAAATCTTTTTCAATATTCTGATTCTCATGTCCTGGCCCTATCCCACGATATTCTTACCCTTATGCTACTGTATCCTGCAGAGTAGGTTACGGTTATCGTACGCATTGCCACTGTAGAAGTATATCTATTTCAAGAGGTTCTATAGAAAAAGAAAAAAAAATTACATCGTTAAAACGTATTTTTTCTCGTCTATATTATTAAACTCAATATAATTTTTTATTTTAACGACTGTTCATCTATGAAAGATAAATATTAGTTCATAAATTTCATCGATTAATATCGTATGTTCTTTCTCTTTCTTGTTACATCGGACGGCAGGTTAGCACCAATTATATCTTTGCATTAACAATTGTTTCTTCACTTCACCTGACTAATTTTTTTTTTATGAGCAAAACTGACGACAACTTATGAACTTTTCATATACATATTTGTATATATATTCATCTTCTTTTATCATGTATTTAACATTCCAATTGTCTGTCATCCATATATTAAGAAACAAAAATCAACAAGAACAATGGCCGAGGAAGAAGTAGAATTTTTTTTTAAGAGAATTTTTAAATATAGATATTCTTCGCAATATATTATCACATTTACTTATTCTTTTCTTTACAGAATGCAAGTGTTCAAGTTCGAACTGAAATTACAAAACTGTATTTACAATTGGATAAAGGTGATATATCATTGGAAGATTATTTGATCAAAATACAAGGACTTGCTGAAGCTGGATTAAAGGCAATAAATAACAATTAATGATTTGATATTTCTTCATTAAAACTTTTTCTTTTTCATCATCTTTTCCATTTGCTATTTGTCGTTTTTCATCATCATTTTTTTCTCTGTTTCATCATTGACAGATTTTTGATAATCGTGTTTTTCTCTTGCAAAGACTTCTATTTTTTCTCATTGACTCTGATTAAATCTTCATTTTTTTTCTTGCAACATATTTGGATAACTTTTCTTCAAATTTCATCTATTGTTAATACTTACTTGTGATTAGGTTGTAATAAATCAAAGTCGGATTCCTATGATAGTAAATCTAAACCAGCTACTATTAATAATTGATATCAGTGATTTGCAGTCCCAGATCCAAAAGAAACAGTTAAATATGTTTGTGATGAAACTATAATTAGCCAAAATTATCTAAATCGAACTGATTATTGAAAGAAAAAATTTCGAACATCTCAAAAAATGATTTAATATTCCAAAATATTCATGTCCATCCAAACAACCAACTAGAAAATATTATTTTATGAATACAGGTCTTCAAAATCAACGGATCAAGCACAATGTTTAATTGATCCGAATACATTTTCTGAAGATGGAACAGTTGCAATACAATCACTAAATGTTTCATTTGATGGAAAAATATTATATTATAAGTAAAGAGAAAAAAAAACATTTATTGGAACTTAAATGACTTTTTTTGACTAGTATATTGAATAGTGATTAAAATTGGTTAACATTTTATTCTATGAATATTGCATCATGTAATAAACAAATTGACACGGTATATCGAAAAAAAAAATTTCAGCATCTCATCTAATAAAACAATGGAGACTTACGAACTCTTATAGCATGTATGATAGTTACTATTGATATATTGAAACTTATGATTTTATTAAATTTGTTTGAGAGATTAAATTGTTTTTGAAAGTTTTTTTTTGATCAAATACCACTAATAGGTTTCTATTTGTAATGATCATATTAACTTTAATTCGATGTTGAAGAAACAAAATTACATTAGATTTGTTGATATTCATATTTTATAAATTTAAATTAAAAGATTTTGTTAAATATATTACATCAGAAATAAATATAAAAACAAAATATTCTTATAGTCAATATAAATAAACATGTGAGTTTTAATTGTTTTAATTATAGTGTGGATATTGTGACGCTGCACCAAGACTACCAAAAAGTCCAACTCGTTCTCGACTATTTGACCGTTTTGGTGGTAAAATATTATCATAGTTAATTTCTGGTTCATGTGTTGATATATCAACTGATGAAGATTTCTTAAATGGATTACGAAGTTTTTATCCCGCACTAAAATTAAATGGAGCTGCTTGAAGTTGTTTAGGTGCTGTCAATCCTTTAATGGCATCTTCTAACATTGTTATTTTATTTTCAAGTTCTTCAATTTGAATACGTGATTTTATATCATGATCTTTGAGTTTGATTTTTTCAGCTTCTAATATTTGACACCGTTGACCAAGACATTCAATAGGTGTATGATCAGGTTGTTGTTTTTTAATTAATTTACTCTCACAAATTCGACATGAATGTTCAATATTTTCATTTCCAACATATTGAGCACTATCAAGTGAATCTAGAGTCGTTATTGAACCACGAGAAGTGGAATTTGTTTCAGTTAATGTAGTGTATGGTATTTCACTCGTAATAACTAAAATATTGAAATTTATTATAAAAGTAATGAAAGAAAAGAAATAATAAAAGATATGCAATATATTACATTTTAATAATTTGAATCAGATAAAGTTTTTTAATCACAAACCAATATACTTATACCCTAAAAGACATTAATGAAAGTCTAAATAATTTTATTTTTAAGGTCATTATTTAAAAAAAAATAGAGATAAGTATATTAAATCTAGTTCTTACTTAGTTATACTTATGTTTATCTTTACTTTTTGAATATTTGTTTGTTGTCTTTATGTCATTCGGTGTATCATTTAATGAAGGTTAAAAAATAAAAAAATAAATCTGAGTATACAAGAGACACTATTTTTAAACAACAAGGTTATTGATCTCCTCTCAAGCGTGTAATATTATCTATACAAGAGATATAAACATGTATTAGTACTTTTCGACATTAAATAAGAATAACTGAGAAAAGTAATGCAATATGAAAGATAATCTAATATGTACATGCTTCAATTAATAGATGATAATTCAATTTAATAAAGTTGTTATTTTTTTTTCATTAAGATCTACAATTAGATTGATAGTTTTTCTTCTTGTTTAATAAGATATTGGAAAGATTAATCTGTTCAAATTATAAAATAGTTAACAAACTAAATGAAAGAACTACAACTAAGAAAGTGTTTCATTTGTCACAAAATTAAATTTACAGAAAAAAAGCACAAGAAATAGTTGAAATCAAATACAGTAGTCAAGATCTATTGTAATAAATCTATTTCATTTCTAAATGAGGTTTACTGAACACGATATTTCTTAACAAAGTAATTATATATGTTGACTGTTTTTCCTTTTACTCATTCCATTAATTCATTGTGATCAATAAACTTGTTCTAGGCTATTTGATTCTTTTCAAAAGGTATCAGTACACACGAAACTTATAATTAGTTGTAATATTTAAGTCGAATATGAAACTATTCGGAAATCATATGATCACTTTTTTGGATGTTTTGGACGTTCTCCTCCATGTTACTCTTGATTAGAGGGTGAATCCATGGAGATCCTACCACTTTTTGGAAGAAGTTTTTTTTTCGTCCAAAATGCCGGTATGGTCTAGAAAACACTTTTGATGAAAAAAAAATCAGAACCTCCCTATTGAAGATTTCGAGTTCTCGATCATTTTCTTGGAACTCCTATGGCATATTTTCAAAGATAGAGAAAATGTCAGAAAAAAGCCTAGAAATTCTTCAAAAGTGACTTTTTCAGGGTTTCCTGGTTCTGGAACATATGAAAGACATCTAGAAACACTTTTGCCGAAAAACAAATCATATCCTTTCTATTGAAAGTCCTCAGTTTTGGGTCATTTTCACTGAATACAACGGTGACAGTAGTTCACTAGCATAAGTGACGACTAATGAATTTGAAGGATATTCTTCTTTCTCAAAGAATGCAACGACTATAATCATAGTATGCTCTCAGGACAGTGTCGAGCTAATGACTTTGCCCAGATAACTAGGAAAAATGCCGATAGATCGTTGCGCAGAAGTCAGATTGCAGGGTCAAAGGAAGCAACACTATGGATTGATGAATTTTCGATCTCGTTATAAGGACATCTTTAGATGTGAAGTCTTCTGTACAAACATCGTGATTTCAAACGAATAAGATTACGAGATGAATCACCGAATATTGGAAAGAATCGATTGCTCGTTGGTACTTCTTCTAATTTCTTTTTTTTTCAATTGTATCTCAATGCTGTTATGGCATGCATCTAGTTATGCCATAATGGTTTTATCCGTGTGTTCGTTCGTTCTCTTTCTTTCTTTACATATACTATTGTCATATAGTTGATTCTTGTCTTTCGTTCTGTCTGATATTTTCCCTTATCTGTTCTCTTGGTTTTTTCCTCAGTTATCAATCTTCTTTGATGTGATATCTCAGGAAATTTCTCGTAGTATTATGATGTAGTTGAAATATCCAACCATTGATTTAATCTGGTATAAACATAAGTTGTTTTTTTCGCATGAGAGAGATTCGTTTTACTAAATTAATAAACATACTGTAAAATCTATTTGATACTGATATAACAAATGCCGAAACGAAAGTGTTGTGAACATGCGACAAAACATGCAAACTCTGCACGTGGACCAAAAGGAGTAGTGGCTGTGTCATCACAGCTATCGATGTTTTTGGTTTCTCGATATGATGCGGCTGTCGATCAAATTTTCTGGTTATGTCCAAGATGTCATACATTTGAATGGAAGGAAATGATGACTCATCAACCAATGGAATTCAACAACGACGAAAGTCCGAGTGATGATGAACACATAGCAAAAGACTCTCCTCCCAATGATGACAAAAATGATGATGATGCTGCCAATGTAGAGTTTAATGATCTGGATGATGAAGGAGAACAGAATCCTCAAATGGATAGTGGTATCATAGCTCAGTCGGAAGACGATGATGATGATTCGCCATGTATGAATGACGAAGCAACCGACCCTGAGTCGATGGACGAAGAGAAAGACAATGTTTCGTAGGAACTCGAGTATCAAAAAGACAAAGCAATGCAACAATTGTCGACCATATTCGAATTATTGAACATAGATCTGATTCATGACAAGTAAATTCGTAAATTTCTTCCAAATTTTCTGAAATGCTTCTTCTGCTTAGATCGGCAGTATCTCCAACTCGAGCTAAATTTGATGAAGTATATAGAAAACTTCATCGGTTATGTGATGTATTGGATGCACTGTAGAAAAGAAATAGGTGTTCTACCGAACTTTGAAGGTTTGGTACTGTTTTACGAATCGATTTTAAGTTCCGTGGCATGAAAATCGTTTCGTAATTTTTATATAGAACCTTTTTAGGTTTCGAAAATTGAAGAGTTTCGAAGTTTTTTACGAAACCCTCTAGAAGTTCCGTGCATCGTGTACTGAACTTTCGGTAGTTTCGTATCTTTTGTACAAAATCGGTGACGGTTCTGTATAGCATGCAAAGGTTTCGTATAAGTTCTACGAAGCCATGCATAGTTTCGTAAGTGCTCTAATAGTTTCGAATACACGGTACGAAACTAGCCATGGTTTCGTAAAAGGTATACCGAACCATTACATCATTTACGAAGCTATGAACAGTTTCGTAGAATGTACGGTGAACCTTTTGATGTTTTACGAAACCACTGATAGTTTCGCGGAACAACGAAAGGTTTCGTATATCTTATACGAATCTATGAAAAGTTTCGCAAAACATCAAACGGTTCAGCATATATTGTACGAAACTATTCATAGGTTCGTAAATGATGTAATGGTTCCGTATATCTTTTACGAAACCATGGCTAGTTTCGTACAATGTATCCCGAACTATTAGAGCACTTACGAAACTATAAATGTTTTCATAGAACTTATACGGAACCTTTAGATGCTCTACGAAACTGCTCACGGTTTCGTAACATGTATACTGAACCCTCAGATAACTGGTGAAACTATTAATGGCTTCGTATAAAATATACTAAACTATTATATAGCTTTCGAAACTATTAATGGTTTCGTAAAATATGCGCGGAACCTTTGCAACACTTACGGATATATTCATGGCTTCGTAAAAGGTATACCGAACTTTTACATCATTTACGAACCTATGAATAGTTTCGTACAATGTATTCTGAACCTTTTGATACATAATTCAAAAGTAACTTTGTTGAAGCCTAAATGGACATTTCGATGAATAATTCATACAATTGTTTAGAATTCTATAATGGTCTCTAAAGTTATAAAGATAACATAACGTATAAAAACTTCGACGCTAACTATTCTTTTATTCAATTTTCTAAAAGCTAGTTTTGGACTCAGAACAAAAAAAAACTTAAAAGTTCTGTATTCTTAAGCGTTAGTTTCTAGACGCAACAATATTTTGTGACGAAATTGATAGCTTAAAGTCTAGATTTATGATACAATAGATTTTCTGTCGTTCTTCTGTTATGTCAATATGTAATTGATTAGATAAGGAATTGTGTAGAAATAACTTCATGCTATAAAGTTAAGTTTTGAGTTGAATAACTTTTAGCTAAAATAAAAGAAAAAATGAATCAAATAAATTTTTTCTATCGATTTCAGTTTAGATTTGTTTCAAATATCTGCTTACATTACAGAAAGTTTGAATTACAACTGACTCATGGGCACATATTATCAAAAACAAATGAAATTCTAATTCTAATAAACTATGTCTTCGAAATTCATTGTTTCTTCTATTAAATATCCAAAATAGGAAGAAATATATTGTTGTAAGTCTTTACAGTAGAACTTTTGATTTTTACAAAGTTTAGCTTTTTTGCTTCAATCTTGAAGATAAGCAGAATTACCTCCTGGAATTGCAAATGAGGTGATCTGCAATCATTTGAACATAGTAATTGACACTTAAACCGTTCTATACCATGATTTTCTTTGTGTTCTTCGAAAATTGCTTAACATCGACTCTTAAATTCTTTGAATATCGGCGATGCATTACACTACAAATCGATTTTTAGGAAATGAACCGAGTTTTTTGTGCAGATTGAAAATCAATAGATAATGTATCAAATGATCGTTAAAATAATATTTCCTTAATAATCCCATGTTTATGATTCAGAACAAATCGCTCATTGCTATTATATTGGTTTAGAATGTTCAAAGTTACTTTAGTAATGATTTTCTCTAGGAAAAATATATATCATTATTGTATTTAGTTTTTTTTTTTCGTTTTATATTTAACTTACAAATCTAAGACAATATTTTACACATCAATCCACGTATAACAATAAAGTTGATAAATTGTTATAATGTCTCATTGGAGACTGGAAAAATACCAGATGCATCATTTTGATTAACATACTCTGGGCATTTAAGGAAATGAAATTATTATCTTTGAAATTCAATTTATTTCACAGATAAGCCTCATGTGTCTGGTCTTTACTTTCCTCAATGCGGATTTCTTTCTTACTATATTTTAATTAAAACTTTTAATGTGATATTTTTTTTTTACACTTCTTTTCTACAAAACAAAAAATGATTGCTTTTGTGTATGAACTATATTCTTGATTCAACAAATTATAGTTATAATTATTTATTAATAGAAACAATGTTTTTCTACTTATTTAAAGATACAAACAAATAAAATTCTTTCCAAAACAAAAGCTATAATATGATTTTTATATAATCAATCGAAAACAGTTTTATCAAACAAGAAACTAATTTCTTCTAATGGCAGCAATATTCCGTCGCTGAAATTTTTTAAATTTATTTAATTATCTCTTGTCCACCGTTTTATTATCTCGAAATAAAACAAGATTCTCGTTTCAAATTCGTCATTTTGAGGAATCATTTGCAAACGAACGAAATGTCATATCAAATTTACGAAAAAAGAAAGTTCATATTGGAAGATGAAGCTTCATCTCAATCGTAGCCGTATGACTTTCTAATCTTTAGATCATCGCAACACAAAAATAGTGTGTTGAAAAATGCTTCGTACCATAATGATTTAGGCCATGTACCATCTAGTGATTTCTTAGTTCTTGTACATTACTCATTGTAACTTCATTCATAATAAAATATAACGAATCATTTCATATGTATAGTTAGCGCCACATGTATGATGCGAGGAATCAAATATATTAGTTTAATTGATAAACCAATCGATATATCAGCCTTTCTTTTCCCTTTCGAAAATTAGAACGTTATAATCATTCGTTTTGCTTATTATTGACGATTAATTGTCAAATATAAATGATGAAATTACGACGACGACGGCCTCTTTCTGTATATAATGCTAGTCCTAATTCAAATAGTCAAAATTCTCTATCAAATCAACCATTACGTAAACGTCAACGAAAAGTTTCTATTCAATCAATAACAGATCATGAAGAAAATGATAGTGAAACAGAAAATCGCTCACCATTCTTTACTTCTGATGGTAAAATTGTATTAATTATGAAATTTTCAAAAAGAACTGTTCTTTTTTTTTTTTGTTAGAATCCGATGATGATGATGATCGTAGTAGTGGTATTCAAACTCGATCTACAACATATTTTAAACGAAACAAAAATGAAAGTAGTAACAATGGTAATTTGTATAATCTTTAATATTTTTTGAATTAATAAATATTGAAATTGCAGTAAATTGTAAAGTCTCTATAGGGTAGAAGTTTTTTTGTTTTACATTAGAAATAAACATAATGAAGTCTTTACTCCCTCTTGCACTCATTCAATATAGGTGCACGATGAGTTGAAAATGATCTATTTAAAGTGTCGTAAAAAGATTTCTATCAAAGTATTATATGCTAATTGTTCGATTTAATATTTAGAATCAGAAGAAGAAGAAGAAGACGAAACAAATGAATCTCAATCTGAAGAAGAAGAGGAAGGAGAAGAAGACACAGTTGTTAAACATTCAAATACAAGAATGGTTACTCGACAAATGTCACTGATTATGAATATTCAAATGAAACCTAAACCAAACGTTAAAGTCCAACCATTTGTTGATCATACTGAAGATACATTAAGGTTAGAAAAAGAAAAATTTTTCTATTTAAAATTGGTTTCTTTTTTTTTTATTAAAGTGAAAATGGAGATAATCAACCATGTACACGTCTTCGTTCAAAACGTTTAAATAATGATCAATATAAAATAAATAATGGTGCACAATTTTTTATTCGAATAACTCCTATAGATGATGATGATACATCACAACCAGCAGCTTTTTCTTCAATAAAAAAAGAAATTTTTTATCATTATACAACACCTGAACGTCCAGATGATGCTGATATTGATTATGAACAATTAGTTAATCGAACACGTATTAAACCAGCATCAATGGATCAATGTAATCAAGGACAATTATTACCTGATGAAAGTATTGATAATGGAAATAATACACGACCAACTGAACTTATACCATATTTACTTCAACTTGAACAAAGTCTTATGCCTGTATTACCAATTATTAAACAAAAAAAAAGTAAAATTAACAAAAAAAAAGGACGTCGCTGCTTTTGGTAACCTATCTTTAATCAGGATGTCATATATGTGACTTTGCAGCGCATTAAATAGTATATAAGAAATTAAGTTTTCCTCAGATCTTGATGTTCTGAATGTCTGTTGTTTTTATTATTTCTTTTTCAAATTTTTATTTCAAGTATCTGAGTTTGATTTTTATATGAAACTCTACAAGAATTGTTAAATATCTCATATTCATTTCAAAAATCATTTTTTTTTCATATCTTCGTACCTCCCTCCAGGTAGAATCCTGTACAGGTTCAACTTTTAGAACTCGACCTGAAAAACTTACTACGTATCTCGAACACAGTATCATGCGATTATAAGATGTTAGTTGTTATGGTTCTTTAGAAGTGATAGTTCGGATTATGATTGCCGTGTCGTATTGAAAAAAATGTTTGAGAGCAAAAATAAGAATGAAAACGATTTTTTTATGTTCGTTCCATGGTATGTGCACAAGGGCATAACACTTATCCGATAACTGTTGCATTCGATGTTATTGCTAAAAGTTGAAAACTTTAATGGAAAACGATGTTGTGATTTCTTAGTGTTATTTGAGACAATATCATGTAGAACTTAACATTTTATTTGTCTACTCGAATTGATTAATTCCTGTTTTATAGAAGAACAATAAGTTATGTAATCATTTCAGAATTGTTGGAACTATTCTAAGGTATTGAAAGATAATATTAACCGATAGCTTCATGGTAGGCTGTGTCAAGAAAAATGAATCTGACTTCGGATCGGGTCGGATTTCAGGACTCTACCTCTAGGGGTCTGAAGGCCAAAAATTATTTCGTTTTTGAATGGATTATTTATATTAGTTCATCAGAGGTACTGTGATGGTTATTTTTGTATAAAAATTTTTAATAGAACCGTTGAGTATTGTTAAAAGATCAATAAACCGGTCCCTTCATATAGAAAAATTAGGCTATTCAAGGGGAAAATCTTGCAAGTTGATAATGATGAGTCCCTGTTGTTCTGAAAGATGTTATGTATAAAACATATAGAGCTCGATAGTGTACCATTTTTGAGAAAGTTTTACGTTAATATCTATTTGTTCTGTAGCATAGAATTGAACAAACTTAAATATCATATAGTAAAAGGGACTATTTTTAAGTATGGAGAAAGCAACAATGAAAACTATTGATTATAACCAGTATATGGATCCATAGAACATGAAAATTTGAAAAAAATTCGATTTCTTATATACCATTCGATGCGTCCCAAATTGTTCTACGAAATCAAATATATGGTATCTTAGTTCAAGATAGATGACCAAATTTGACGAGGTTCTTTATAGTTTTTCTTTTGAATAAATAGAATCAGCAAAATTTGGTAATGTTATTTACCAACGTCGTTTTCAAGTATTACTTGATTATTTATATAGTTCTCAACGTTGTTCACAAATATCTGAACTTATTCGTTTACATCTTCGTTCAAGACTTGTACTTAATACACTTTTTCTTACAGTTAATTTATTTGATCGTGCTATTTTAACTGGTCAATTACCACGTGAATGTTATTCAGATGGAAATCCTCATTTATTACTTACTTGTTTACTTATTGCTGGCAAATTCGAAGAAGTTGAAGTATGTTTTAAATTTAAAAAAATAAAAATCTAACAAGATTTATTATTCGAAAGTTTATTTCCTCGTTTTGTTTTTGTTCAGCAAAATAATAATATGAAACATTTGCTTTTAATCAAAGATAAAATAGACAATATTTTAGTCTAGAGAATTTCGAACTTTTATGTTTTGCACATTAACAGCTATTCATCTCGCATCATATGTTCGATAGGATGCTGACTACATGGTGATATACATCGGCGCTTACCATTAGTCAATGTATATCAAGAACTACAGCTAGTAATAGTTCTAGGAAAGATACCGAACTAATGAAACTGCTGCCAGGCAACACTCTATTCTGCAAGGTAGTCGAAAGGTGACTATTCTTCCTTTTGTTGTAGAGATTGAATAATAAATCTATGATTTTTGATGAGCACTATCACAGTTCTATAGGTAAGTGTGGCTGCGGATGAAGACAAGAACACACCTACATCCTCAAAAAGACTAACAGTCTCCTACCTTTTAATAGCCACCAAAATGTGCATAAAAAATATTCGAATAATTCAAAACTTGGCAATGAACACTCGTGCGGACAAGCTCGTTAGAGACTTTTCATAGCTCACAAAGAGCTACTGATGGAGAAAATATCAGCTTAGAAGGATATGGACAGCTGTGGAATGTTCCTTCGTGAGTTCTCTCTTCAACATCTTCGCACTGTGGAGCGAATGTAGAACAAACAGGATTTCGCATCAAAGTGTCGAGAAGTAAATTGGTAGTACAGCAGCGTTTTATCCAGGGTGAGGGCGGCACTCTTCCGAAGACCGAGTTAGCTCTCTTGCAGTGTTTGATTATCGTGCCAATACTATGTAACAATGTTTGAACAAAAATTGCAGGAGTCTCTAATCTTTAGATCATGGCAATACAATATATTGATTTCGAGTTATATGTTGAGAAAGTAAAAAAAAACTGGCGGTCGACTACTCTATAGTGCTTCGTATCATGATCAGAATTGATTCGAACACAAATTATTACATTAAATATTTTTGTTTTTTAATTATAACTTTGTTTTCTAGTGGCCAAGTATTAGTTCATTGATTGCTAATCGTGAATCATTAGAAGCACGTGATATAAAATCACTTGAAATTATTGTACTTCAATCACTTTCATTTGATATTGGTTTAACTGTATTAGATTTTGTTTATCGATATTGTGAAATATCACCAATGGATAAATCAAATGATGATCTTCGTCTTTTATTTTTTATTTTACAACTTTTATTAATTGATCCTCATACATTTATTGCACATAAATCATCATATATAGCTGCTTGTTCATATGCACTTGTACGACATTTAAAACAATATGAAGTGTAAAGTTTTTCTTTTTTAATTATATTTTCATTTTTATATTATATTTAACGATTTTTTTTTTTATTAGTACATGGCCTCGTCGTTTAGCTCGTTCAACTGGTTATGATCCAGCTGAAATAGCATATGGTGTAACAAAAGTAGCTGCACAATGTTTACGTGCTTTATCATCAAATGAACAACAAGAACTAATACATCGAGATTTAATGCATAAATATGCTAAAGGTCCAGCTGCACAATTAATTAAATATGAACAAGCATTGAATGATCTTATTCAACCAGCATCAGATGAAAATCAATAACATTCGAGAAGTTTTTTTTTTTTTATTATCATAGTTCAATTAATAAGTCTTTCAGCAATGAAACCAAACTAAATAATTTTTTTTTCTGTTCTTTTTTTTTCATGAACAAAATGTATATGAATATAGGTAGCAAAAACAAAGAGAAAACTAATTTTTCTTTTTTCTATGACTGTTCTTAAACAGATAATAATATTTCTAATTCAACAAAATTTATTTTGTAAAAAATTATCAATTTGAATTTTAATGGACATACATTTTTCTCTTTTTTTTTCTTGATTTAGATTTTCTGTATATCAAACAATATTTGTGCATAATTTGTATATTTTGGATAATTTTCTAAGTTTTTCTTTGATTAATAACAGATGAGTTATTATTTAAAAGGTCTATTTAATCTAGCATGAATTTTTTGAAAACTGCAATCCAATATTTATGCATTATTGATAAGAGAAATGTCAGGAGAGTGGATAGCGAAATTCCTTAGAATATCTGGTAAGCTACGAAGAGCTTATTGATGAACATCATTTGCATTACAATAGTTTCCCATGTTTGTGTTTCTTTTTTTGTTAGTACTTTATTACATTGATAACTTGTCACTTGTCAGTACTAGTTCCTTTTTATTAGTAATAAATTTGTATTACTAATTTCTAGAAATGAGTAATGTTTTTTTTTTAAATTATCAAATATTAGTCATAAGTAATAAAATAATAACAAACTATTTCATATTCCACTAATACTCCTAAGCTTTCATGAGCTGCCTAATTCCGAGTTCGAATATAGATGATGCTCTGCGAGTATTATTTCACTACGGAAATAAATGAAAAAAAAAATCGAACCAACATTGAACTTAAAAAGTAGTCAAAATTTTTATCTGAGCTATAATTATTTCTCCAACAACGCTTTTAGTGTGATAATGAATGCTTAAAAGCTTTCAATGAGATCTTCAATAATTTAAAAGTGTGACCTTACACTTATACTTGTGCAGAAGTGCTTTTAGCCACATAACCTATTTTTGTATACCGGGGTCGTAGCATGGAGACACGTAACGTCCTTCAAAGAGTTGTAGTTCATGTACGGTAATACAAATGCTTCTCTTGTAATCTAGACAAGCCAGTTCCCCTATTATCTTTGGCTGTAGCAACGATGGTGTCTATGAAATTTGATTTATTTTCGAACTTGAATTAAGTATTATGTAAATGAGTGATTTTAATTGTAAGAAGCAAAGAATATCAAGTTATAAAAAAAAGTTACGGATCCGTTTGTATAATAGAAGTAATTAACCCTTACAAAAAAGAATACATCTTGTAAATGTTTCAAAAACGATGAAGATAATTATTTATATAATGATCTATTATTTGTCAACAAACGTTGCTACATTAAATTATAAAAGTTTTAAATTTATGCTTAGATATTACGTAATTAATCATTCTTGAGTAATTCTCTAATCAATGGTACTACATCGATTACGATTCAATATTTTTAAATCACTATGATATAATCGAAAATTCTCATACTTTTGTTTTTTTAAATATAAGATTTAAATTAACTGTTTTATTTATCGTTTATATGTAATACAGTCACGTACAAGTTATAAAAAATGTTTTTTGTATTCTTTTCTTTCTTTTTTTCTTGCAATTGTCTATGTTGTCTCAGTATCAAATGGTCGAAGGAAGTCTATTGTGTCTCAAGTATTTCACATCCATCGTTTTACTCTCGCGTAGTGAATGAATATGAAAAGATAAAAGAATTTGTTTCTATTTGGTAAATATTAAAAACCTTTCTCAATTTGTTTGTCTTCGACTTTGTTAATTTTATTTTATTTTTTGCACAAGGCTTTTTAAAATCCGATACAGTATCTCTTCCTTTGAGAGAGAGAATGAACCACTGAATATATTTTGTCATTATGCCATAACGTTATTCAATTAGAAATTGTTTATGAACATTCATATAGTTCAATCGGAGATGAGAATTGATTCGAGATGATGGATATATTTTTTGATATTCTTATTCAATAGAATCTACTAATACGTCTTTCTCTTACAGATTTATTTATCAAATATAAAAAACTTGAAGTTATATGACCAACGTATCTTGAGATACATAAAACAACAGTTACAATCGTGTATGTAATACTGATTCATCATTATTATTATCATCATCATCATCATCATCATCATCAATAGTATGATAACCACTAATATAACTAATATTTTTTGAACTATTCAATGTATTAGTTACAATACATTCAGAAGTAATACTCTTTTGATAGATATTATCTAAAAAAAAATAATAATAAATTTATTTTATTTTCTTCATTTTAAACATACCAAGTGATCGAGCTTTTGTTTTTAATATTGGTTTTTTTGTTAAATTTATCGAACTATTTGATGTTGTTAACGGTTGATAAGAATATCGACGTATAGATGGTAAATGTTCGACAGTTCGTTCCCAAGTACCTATATCAGATATGAACATATAAAAATAAAACATAGAAGAGAATAATTCATACGAATATCCACAATATGTTGTTGTAGTGCTCGTATCCAAATATTTAATATAAATAAATCTTGAACAAAAAATTCTTCTTGATCAAGATTTCGATTATAAATTGAAAATGATAAATGATCATTATGTGATAAAATTATAGTATCCTAATTTAATACAAAAAATAAAATAAAACAAATGAGAAATTTCTTTTATTTTCTTATCCTACTGATGTAATCGGTATAGAAAAAGTACGTTGTTGTGAATAATCGCTACGCATTATTTCTTCACCATGTAAAAATCCTCCATTTAATATACATGAATATGGAACATGATTAACTTCAACAATACCAGCAAATGTTGCTGATCGTGTATAACATAATGGTTGAATAAGAAAACGTGAAAGAAATGTATTTTCAATTGGTAATTGCATTAAAGGATTTTCTTGTGTACGTTCCATTGTTAAATTACGAACTTTTGCCATTTTATGAGCGGATTCTTTGGTATACGTAGCTCGAGCAATTAGAACAAATTTTGATTGTGGTTGATTAGATGTTTTTTGCTGAAAAAACAAAAAAGAATTTTCACGATTTAATATTGACAATCAAGTTACATGAGTCGTTTCACTTGGTGGAACTTTTCTTCTTGATCTTGGTGATCCATGAGTTGAAAAAAAACTATATCGTTCAGCAAAATCTTTTGCTGCTGTTGATAAAGCAAGACTTTTATTTAATGCATAGATTTCGAGATCTAATTGAAAATTATGTGGAACATTTTCACTAAAAAAAAAAAAGAATTATATATCATCAAATATCTTATAATTTATTATTATGAATAAGAAAATTTACAATGTTAATTTGTCTGTAAAAAGTATATCAGTTGATTGTTTATCAATAAATTTCATTTGTGTATCAATTATTTCACATCCAATACGTGCCAAACAAAAAACAGCAAATTGTTTTTGTTCTAAATGATAAGAAATTTGATTAAAACGTGATCAATTAAATTTAAAATCTAACCTGATTTTGCTTTTTTCATCTTAATCCATACTAATGGTAAACGAATATCAGATAAAATAACTGTCGCTTTTGTTGGTTCAAGGCTTGAAAAAAGAAAGAACATGACATTTAGCAAAATGAATTATATACAAATATATATTCTATGTAATAATAATCAATACTTTGTATCATCACGTTTAAGTAAATTCTGTTGTTTTCGTCTTATTTCACTCATAAAAGCTAACATTCGTTGTTGTGAAAGAACAAGAGCTTTATTACATTCTATTGTTTGTTCAGCTGTTGTCACTACATTAAGTAATTTACTAATTCCATCAATCATTTTTACTTCACAATCAATTTTACGTTCTAACTCAGGATCCTAATTACAGACAAGGAAAAAATAAATAAATATTCTATTTAGTTCAACATACCCAAATGAAGAACGATACCACTCGTTTTTCTCCACTAGTATGATTTGCATTCATGTTTTTTTAAATAAAATGCAAGAGAAAATGTGAAATACGTTTTACTTTATTCTCTTTCGTCGTCTATTGATGAATGAATGACACAAAAAGAAGGTAAATATGTACTCTATGATGACTAAGAACTTCATGGCATACCTGTCGTAGGTGGAGAGCATTGATTGATTATTCACAATAGAGAAGTTTATGATTCTTTCAAGGTTTCTTATAATGTTTTATTTTTTTATAATATGGGAAAAAGCACACTGTTCATCTGTTAATGGACAAGAATTAGGATGAAATGCATAGAAAAAACATGGTTTAGTTTTAAAACATTGTTTGGATGATTGTTTTTGTTTTAATATTATTGAATTTAATTGTGGATTAGTTAATGTTATTAATTTTGTTTTTGGATCAAAATTAAGTGCATGACGATAAGATAAAATAACTGATTTTAAACCACCATGTTCAGATTTTAATTGTTCACAAAATTCATTTGGTAGAATATCATATGCTGTTGATAAAGTTAATGATTTATTATGATTTAGAATATATTCAAAAAGAAAATGAATAATAGAAAATTTTATTGAATAAAATTCTGGTTTTGATTTTATTAATGATGAACGATGATTTGATATTTGAGGATCAGCATGTTCATGATTAATATCAATACCAAACTGATTAAATAAACGAGTATGAATTGAATCATTTGAACTGAAAATAAAATTAAAAGAAAAATTATATTATAAAATTAATTCTTATTCTAAATTTTACCGATCTTCAAGTTTTTTTCCATGTAACATAAAACAAATATTTTTCGTTGATGGAATACGTAATTTATCTTTTCGTATATTAAAATCAAGTATATTAGCAATTTTTTCTATATAATTTAAATATTGTTCATATTGTGTTGTATTATTATGATTATTTGTAATAAATTTTTTTCCACTAAAATCAAAGAAACAACAAGGTAATAGAAAAACATCACAAAAACATTGACTAGCTAAAACAGGTAACCATGGTGTTAATTCATCAGAATGATTACCAATAAGAAGATTAT